CCTGAAAAGTCTACTTTCTGGGAGGGGCAAATGGGGCACTTGGAGGCAGAAATAATAAATAGATCCTTTACGGACCATAATGTAACAAGAATAAAAATTGATTCAGGGACTACAAACAAAAGATACTGACCAAGGGGAGACTTAACAGTGAAATCAGAAATAATAAATGGGTCAAACAACAAATCATAAAAACAATAATTATGTAAAAGAAAGTGTTAATGATGAAACAACGTACCAAAATTTTTGGGATGTAACTAAATCAATCCTCAGGGAAAATCACATCCTTAAAATCTTAGTTTAACAAAATAGAAAAAGAGAAGATTAATAAATTGACTACGGATTTTAAAAAATTAGAGAATCAACAAATAAACCTAAAATAAGTACAAAAGAGATGTTAAAAATTAGAGGGGAAATAGGTTAATTAGAAACCAAAAAACCATAGAAATGATAAATAAAATTAAAAGCTAGTTCTTTGAAAAGAGTAATAAAATTGATAAACTCTTAACTAATCTGATTAAAAAGAAGAGAGCCAAAATTTAGATCAATAAAATAGCAAATGAGCAGGGTGAAATCACAGTAAAACCAGACAAAATGAAAAAAGTGATCAGAATTTATTATTAATAATTATATGGTAACAAACTGAAAACACAAAAGAAATAGAGAAATACTTTCAAAAATATAAAATACCCAAATTATCAGAAGATATAGATCTTAAATAACCCAGTATCAGGAAAAGAAATAGAACTAGGTGTAAAGAAATTGTCAAAGGAAAAAAATTTCTGGGCCAAGAGAATTCTGTCAAACTTTTAAAGAACAGTTAGTACCCATACTTCACAAATTATTCTCAAAAATTGAGGGAAATAAAAACCACCCAGAATCTGAACAAATATAGTCCCAATACCTAAACCAGGGAAATACAAAATATGAAAAGAAAACTGTAGGCCAATATTATCCATGAACATTGACCAAAAATTTTTAAACAAAATCTTGTCAAACAGACTACAGCAATTTATGCAAGAAATCATTCATTATGATCAAGTGGGATTTATATCAGAGATGCAAGGATTATTCAATGTTAGGACAGCAGTCAACAAAAACAATCCAGCTAAAACCATACAATCATCTCAGTAGCTACAGAAAAAGCCTTTGACAAAGTACTACTCTTTTATGCTAAAAACTCCACAAAGTGTTGGCATAGAGAGACTTTTTTGGGTATAAAAAGTATCTACCCAAAACCAAAAGCAAGCATTATATACAAAGGACATATACTAGAACCTTTTTCAGTAAATATAAGAATTAAGTACAGTTGCTTACTCTTACTACTATTATTTGATATAGTTCTGGAAATGCTAGTAATCGAAATAAAACATGATAAAGGAATGAAAGGAATAAAGATAGGTAAAGAGGAGATAAAATATCCCTGTTTGCTGATGATATGTTGGTTTGCTTGGACAACACCAGAGAATGAGCAAAGGTGCTAATTAAGACAGTTAATAGCTTAAGCAACATTTCAGGCTAGAAAAGATCAACATTTCTCTATAATAATAACAAAATATATGAAGCAATAATAGAAAGGGGAATCCCATTCCGAATAACTACAGAATGCATAAAATATCTGAGGAGCAGTCTCCCAAAGCACACAAAAGACTTGTATAGATTCGATTTCTAAGCACTCCTTAAAGAAATAGCCTAAATAAGGGGCAGCTAGGTGGTTCAGTGGATAGAGCACTGGCCCTGGCGTCAGAAGGACCTGAGTTCAAGTGTGCCTTCAGACATATAACACTCACTAGCTGTGTGACTCTGGGCAAGTCACTTAACCCCAGTTGCCTCACCAAAAAAAAAGCAAAAGTAAAATAACCTCAATTCAGTGTTCATGGCAGGGCCATACCAATATAATAAAAATAACAGTACTACCAAAATTAATTTGCACTTTCACTGCTATACCAATTGAATTACAAAGGGGGTACTTTACAGAACATGATAAAATAATGTTTGAAAATTCATTTGGAAAAACAAGATCTGCAATATCAAGGGAAATGAAAAGAAGTAAAGTTGAAGGGGGATGCACTTCAAGACCTCAAACTACACTATAAAGCAGCAGTCATTAAAAGCATCTTATACCAGTTAAAGAATAGATATAGAATTGGAGGGGGGGATTAAAAGCTCACAGCAGAGAACCAAAAAAAAAAAAACTTTAAAAGGAACCACAGAAAAGCAGGGTAGCTTTGAAAATGATGTAAACATCATTGACATCCTTAGTAAGCAGTGTGAAATGGGAATTCATTTATGTGGAATCCTCTTTTCATATTGTGCTCTCTACATGGAAATGTTCTCTTTTTTTTTTGTCTTTTTTGTATTGAAATTCAAAATGAATAAAAAATTTTTAAAGTGGAAAAAAAAGAATGAGAGAGCAATAGAACACACTAAGGAAGATTCAGAAACTAGAACTCAATAATACAGCGTTTGGTAAGTAAAAAACTGAAGGGAAACTTTTTGATGAAAACTGATGAGAAAACTGGAAGGCAGCCTGGCAGAAATTCTTAGACCAATACCTTAACATACCACAATACATTTTAAATGAATATGTGACCTTAATGTTAATGATCATGCTATTTTTAGCTATTAGAAGAAAAACAGGTCATATACCTCTCACAACTATAGTAAGAAATGTATTCTGAACCAAACAAGAGATAGAGGCAATTACAAAAGAAAACAAATAACTCTGATTACTTGAAACTGAAAAGCTTCTGTATAGACAACATTTTTATATCTAGAATAAGAAGGGAAGTGGTTGAATGGGGGAAAAAATCTTTGTATCATATTTTTCTGTAAAGAGTTTGGTATCCAAGTTATATAAACAATAAATATATATAACTAATAGCCATTCCCCAATAGATAAATGGTCAAAGGATATGAACAAACAGTTCTCAAGAGAACTGCAAAATATTCACAACCAAATGAAAAAATTCTCCAAATCTTTAATAATGAGAGAAATGCAAATCAAAACAACCCTAAGATTTCACCTTACATCCTACAAATTGGCAAAAATGACAACAGTCAACAGGGGCTATTGGAAGATATGCATACTAATACATTTTTAGTGGAGCATTTTGGGTAGCAGTTTGGAATTACACAAATAAAGTGACTAAAATGCCCATACACGTTGAACCAGCAGCTGTTATTGGGCTTTTGCCCCAAGGAAGCCAACGATAAAGTCCCCATATATCCCTAAATATTTATAGCAGCACTTTATATGATAGCTAATAATTGGAAACAAAGTAGATTCCCATCAGCTAGGGAATAGTTAAACAAATTGTAGTACCTGAGTGTAATGGAATATTACTGCACCATAATAAATTATGTGTGTGATGAATACAAAGATGCATAAAGAGATCTATATAAATTGATGCAGAATGAAGTAATCAGAGCCAAGAAAACAATATACACAGTAAGTACAACATAAATGGAAAGAATGACACACCAAAAGAACAGAAAGTAAATGTAACAAAATTATGAAGAACAAGTGGGACTTGAATGAAGAAATATGAGAAGATACCACTAACATACTCCTTGGTGGAGGTAGGAATTCCATAGATGTTACATGTTGCACATGTGTAATCAATGTGTCAATCAGTTGTGCTGACTTTTTTTTTCCTCCAAAAAAATGCTGTTTTTCATATGGCATGACTTGAGGGGAGGGTAGAAGAGAATACGTGGTATGCCATGTTAATGTAAAAAACAAAATATAAATAAAAACATTTTTAAAAAAAGAAATGGGATTGGGGCATATGTAGACAGGTTGATTATGAAGGTATGGGCTAGCTCATCATCAGAGATCATAATAGGAAAGGCAGAAAAGAATGGAGTTTTGAGATATGGAGTGGGAGAGAAGAGGGGTTCATAACAAATGGTTTCTATTTTCTGTTAAAAAGTATCTGAGAGGGTGGAAGAAATAAATGGTGGTATTGAGAATGTGGAGAGAGAAGAAAAGTTTTGAAATAGCCATTGTGAAGAACAGGGTAGAACATCAGTTATGGAAGAATCAAAGGACTGTTTTAATTAAGAACCAGTTGAATTTATGTCACATAAGTTTGTAAGGAATCCAGTTTCCTGAGTTGTTTGGCTTTTTCCAGCTCTGTGCAGCAGCAGGTGATTAAGATAGTACAAGTCAGACAGATGGTAGGAATAATTCAGGGTTGGCATTTGACAAGATAAGGATCACAATAAGATGAGGAGGAAAGAGATTCAGTAGTAAAGGATATTGTAGAGTTTAATAAAAGGGTCAAGATTGGGAATAAAGATACAGTGGAGGAATGATTTAGTAGAAAAGTATTGAATAGAGAAGACATTGTAAATTATGGTGAGGAAGAAGAACAGATTTAAGAAAGATAAGGCATAAGGAAAGATAAAATGGCATTTGATACAAAGATATTTTTCTACTTGACAGTTTCTCTTTTTCTTCTCCTGAATGAGCAGCAAGGGAAATCAACAAGTATTTATTAAGTTCCTGTTATGTGCCAGGAATTGTGCTAAGTACTTTACAGATATTATCTTGTTTGATCCTCGCAGAAACTCTGTGAGGTAAATACTATTATGATCCCCATTTTATAGTTCAGGAAAGTAAGGCAGCCAGAGTTGAAGTGACTTGCCCAGGGTCACTTACCTAGTGTCTGTGGTCAAATTTGAATTCAGATCTCCCTAGGTGATTTAGGTATCAGTAAATAAAGTGCTGGGCTTAGAATCAGGAAATCATGAGTTTAGATCCTGATTCAGACACTAACTTGACTCTGGGCAAATCTCTTAAACATTATCAGCTTCAGTTTCTTTGTCTATAAAATGGGGATGATATATGATAGTACCTATCTTACAGGATTATGAAGATCAGTGAGATAATATATGCAAAATACATTGCAAATCTTAAAATGCCACATAATTGTTGCCTATTGTTACTTTTAAAAATATATAATAATTATTAAAATGTTTTTCCTCCTTTTTTAAAGGAATTTAAAGAATGCTGATGGGAGACCCATTTTCCTAAAGAACAATTTGTCAAGCTGGTTGCCACTATGGGTAAGTTTATACCAAAACCAGAGCATGGTTAACTTTAAATTAAAGAAATAAATTTCCTGGGTCAGAGGTAGGGGGTATTATTAAGTGATTTTGAAAATTTGTTGTACAGACATTTATCAAGTATTGGAGTAATATATTCAGTTGTGTTGCAATTACTCAACATATATTTACGGAGTACTCCTAATGTCAGTCACTGTTGGATGCTTGTTATATTAGTCCTGAAGGGAGATTAAAAAAAAGGGGGGGTGAAAGAAATGCCTCTTGTAATCTAATATGGAAAAGTCAAAAAAACACAAACAGACATAAACAGCACAGATATAAGACAATATTCGTAAGTACTGTGAGGAAATACTTGAGTAATTTGAACTGGATGATGTGATTAGTTAGACATTGGAAACATGAAAAAGGAACTGTACAGTTTAAAATGTAGAAACAGCAGTCTCCTAGCCAGAGGTAGAATATACCTAACAAGTGTAGAATGAGTAAGAATATATTTTCCTGGAGTTTTGTATACCTAATCAGAAAGACTTTAAATTAAAGGTGAAGAGGGAGAAAGAAAACTGCCTATGTACATCCATCAAGCCAGATGCCATAGGGAATGGCTATAAAGTAGAAGAATAGCATTTGAGACACCTAGAAGCTAATAGACAAAATTCAAGCAAGAAGCAAGTTGTAAAACACATGGCATCAAGTGACTGTATATAAAAAGCACAATGTTTATAGACCCTTCAAAATCATACTAATTTTACTTCATTATTACTCTGACTTGGTAGGATCTATGCTTGGAGTGTGCTTCTGAATCAGTATACTGTATTTAAATGAAACAAAGTAGGTAAAGGGGGAGAGGGGAGTATGGTAACATTTTATTTGCATCATTATCTCATTTGATTTTCAAAACAACTCTGTGAGGTTAGTGCTATTATTATTACCCATTTTACGATGAGGAAATAGATTTAAAGAAGTGACATGAATTGCCTAGGGTCACACAGTATAAATGTCTGTGCTTCCTGGCTCAAAAGTCCTGTGCTCTGTCCATTATGCCACACTGCCTTTTATTCCATATTAAGATTTACTCATGTGCTCAAGAAATTTAGGGACCAGATTTGGGAAATAATAAAGAGCTTTTGTGTGAAAATCAGCAAGAATTTTGTAATGGGAATATATTGCAGATGCCACCTGAACAGAAAGAAGAGATAGATAATAAGCAGAAGCATGATAGGAGATGTCAGTATTTGTGTGAATATCTACCAAAAGCAGAGCAGCTAGTAATTGTTTGGTCATTTTATTTGTGTCTGACTCTTTGTGGCTCCCTTTGGAGTTTTTCTCAGCAAAGATACTGGAGTGGTTTGCCATTTCCTTCTCCAGCTCATTTCTCATCCTCCAGATGAGGAAACTGAGTCCAGCAGTGTTAAATGATTTGCCCAGGGTCACACAGTTAATAAGTATCTGAGGCTGGATTTGAACTCAGGTCTTCTTGATTCCAGGCCCAGCACTCTATCCACTGCACCACCTACCTGTCCTCAGCTTTAATGTTAATTTCATTTTTCTAAAGGTAGAGCAGCCAGCAAAGAGAATATATCCATTCTGGAGTTGATTTTCACCAATAAGGGATAACTGGTTACTCCAGTGGAAATTATAGGTAACTTGGGGGTAAATGTCCACTCCCTTTTAGAGTTTGTAATAGAGAAGAAGAGGAAGGCCAGGCATAGTCTGCTATGTATCCTAGATTTTTGAAGACCAGACTTCAAGTGCTCCAAAAGAAGAATAGTTAGGTAAGATAGAATTCTAGAACACTAAAATTCTCTAAGGAAAATCAGCCCAAGAAGAATGGAAAGCTCTTGAGAATTAAATTCTGAAGAGACAAATAGAAGCAATTCTTATGATAAGAATGCAGAGGAGTTATCTGAAAAGATCATTGTGGATACACAGAAAACTCACCACCTAACTTAGTTTTTAAGAAGATGTAATGAAGGGGAAAGCAAGGGCAAATAACAGAGGCAGAATAAAAAAGCATGGAATGATTCTGTAGGAATAGTATCAGAAGTGCTCAGAATGAACTATAGTTGAAAATGAAAGCTAGAAACAAAAAAATGTTGAGGAAAAGAAAAAGATCTGTAAGAAAAAGTAGGAGACAGCTAGATGGTGCAGTGGATAAAGCTCTGGCCTTGGAGTCAGGAGGACCTGAGTTTGAATCCGGCCTCAAACATTTGACACTTACTAGCTGTGTGACCCCGGGCAAGTCACTTAAACCCAATTGCCTCACCAAAAACAAAAAAGAAAAAGGACCATAGCTGAAATGAATGAGACAATTATAACTAACAATAGAAGGTAAAACTGCTTAATTCGTATTTTGCTTTTTTTGTCTCTTCTAAGGAGCATGGGCTACAAACTAGAAAGAACAGAAGAAAAATGTCCAAAATAGAGAATTGATAGTCTAGATAAAAAAGAGAGAGAGAGAGTAGAAAAACCTCCTAGGTTTCTTTGATATTCAAATCAATTGAAATGAACTGAATCTGCAAGTACTGAAATAATTGATGGATGCGATTGAATTATTGACAAATGATGTTTTAAAGATTATAGAGAAGGAAGAAGTACTGCAAGACTAGATAAAGGTAAGTGGTCTTTCAGTTTTAAAAAATAAAAAAGAGAATGGAACCTACAGACTGAAGGACAGTTACCTGAATTCTTATGCTTAGCAAAATTCTGGAAGGTATTTGTTAAAAAGATGGTTAGTGAACATCTAGAAAAAGAAGTGGTTATCACAAAGCCCATTGTGACTTCATCAAGAAAAAGTCATGCCAGAGAAATCTTAATTCCTTTTTTTTTTGTCAAGATTATTAAACAGGTAGATCAAGGGAATAATATAGAAACAGTTTGCCTGGATTTTAGCAAAATATTTAACAGCTTTTTTATGGACAAGATAAAAAGTTGTGAACTAAATCTCTGTACTGTTAGGTAGATTCAGAAATGGTTGAATAGCCAAAGCTAAGTGTAACTCCTAATGGTTTGATATTATCCTTGGGAGGAGGTCTCCAGCAATGTGCCCCTAGGGATCTGTGCTTGCTCCTGTAGTGTATAACATTATTATCATTTCCTAGGTTAAGGTCATGGAGAGTTTGCTTATCAAATTTGCAGACATCATAAAACTGGGACAGATGCAAACAGTGGATAGTAGGATGCAGAAAGATCTTGATGGGGTAGAATATTGGCTGAGTCTAACAATGATATATTTATCCTTACAAAATTTTAAGTCCTTCCTATGTACTTGGATTTTTAAAAAAAAATCAACTTCACAGATAATGAAGGGTAGGATGTAACTAGACAACAACAGTTCCTCTGCAAAAGATCTGGGGATTTTAGTAGGCTGTAAGCTCAATATGGGTCAGTAGTATAACTATGGTAGCTCCAAAAGCTTATGCTTTCTTAAGCTACATTAAGAGATATTCGGGGTCCAGGACCAAAGAGGTTTTAGACTACTGTTCTTTGCCTTGGTCAAGCCACATCTGGAATATTGTATTTGGTTATGGACAGCACAGCTTAAAAACTACTTTAGCCCTCAATCTAGTCCAGCGTTTATTTTAGAATTGAACAAACTGAGGCCCCGAGAGGGTGAATTCAAACTTGCCAGAGGTTACACAGATTTTCCAGCTGTATATTCAAAATACTTTCCAACTACAATCAGTCAATCAGCAGGGGCATTTTTATTTTTACAGTTTTTTTAGTAAACTACTTTTTTTTTTTTTTTACAATGTCCAGGCACTGTTCTAGGCCCTCGGGATATGAAGTTAAAGATGAAACAGCCCCTGCTCCCAGAGACTTTACATTAGGGGGAAGACAGCATATATATATTTAAATACATACAAAATAAAAATAAATACAAGAGGACACTAGCAATTGGGAAGGAGAAGGAAAGGCTTCAAATAGAAGGCAGCATCTTATATTAGTCTTGAAAAAAGTAAGGAATTCCATGAGGTAGCGATGAGAAGTAGGTGAGGCATGGTGAAACAGCCAGGCAAAAGGCATAGAGATAGGAGATGGAGTACCTTGTGTAAGGATACATAAAAAGGACAGATCTGTTAGATCCTAGAGTGAGGGAAGCAGGAAGTAGTAATATGCGATGATTTTAAAGGGCTTTAAATACCAAATAGAGAAGTTTATATTTTTCCCTAGAGGCAATAGAGAGACATTGAATTTTATTAAGACCGCTTCTTAGTGAAAATAACCTTGGCAGCTTTGTGAAGAATGGATTGGAGTGGGGAGAGGCTTGAGACAGGAAGAACAATTAGGAAGCTATTGGCAATAAGAAATGATGAGGATCTGAATTCAGATGATGACTGCATGAGTAGTGAGAAGGGGACAGATAGAAGAGATGTTATAGAAGTAGAAGTGGCAAGATTAAACCACTGATAAGAGAGTGAGGAGTTGAGGATACTATGGTTGTAAATCTTAGTATCTTTCTTGGCAATAGGGAAGTTCAAAAGAGGACCAGGTTCAGAGGAAAAGATGAAGAATTCTGTTTTGGACATGTTGCATTTGAGGTGCCTGCTGGACATAATTTTGAAATGGTCAGTAGGCTTCTGCTGATGTGGGACTAGATCTCAGCTAAGAGACTTAAGACTAGATATATAGGTCTGGGAGTCATTTTCATAGAGAAGATAATTGACTACATAGGAGCTGATGCAGTCACCAAGTAAGAGAGTGTAGAGACAAGATAGTAGCTGAGGACAGAATACACACAATTATAGGACATGATTTGGATGATGAAGCAGCAGAGGAGACCAAGAAGTAGTCAGATAGGTAAGAGGAGAAACAGTATAGTCTAGTGTCATGAGAACCTAGAAAAAAGAGAAGAGAGGGTTGGTCAGCCATATCAGATGCCATAGAGAGGTCATCAAGTCAGTGAAGCATTTAAGTGCCTACTAAATGCTCGTGCTGATGATACAAACACAGTTCCTGACCTCAAAGTATTTACAATATAATAAGGTAGACAACAGGCAAAC